TAGGTCTCTGGTTCGCCTTGATCTACCAACAAGACGTCACCTTCATCAGACATGAGAAATCCATATCTGACCGGAGGATTACGTATCCGGTCTGACCTACGTGGTATATCTTGAGCAATTTGAGGTTCAATTGCTTGATCTCTTTGCTCATGTTCCAACACTATCGGGACTTCTTCTTGTGGTTCTCGAATTTCTTCGAGGTCTACCTTTCTCCCACTAGTGATAGTAGAAAGAAACTCCTTCTCAAGGAAGGTTCCATTCCAAGCAACAAAAATTTTGTTATCGGATGGATGATAGAACTCATACCCTCTAGTTTCCTTGGGGTATCCCACAAAAATTACTTTATCAGATTTAGTCTCCAACTTACTAGACGTCATGAGACGTTTTACATAAGCTTCACAGCCCCAAATCTTAAAGTACGAGAAACTCGGTTTTCTCCCACGCCATAGTTCGTATGGTGTGCTCTCGACAGCTTTAGATGGAACTCTGTTGAGTGTGTGTGTTGCTGTTTTCAATGCATATCCCCAAAATGATTCTGGCAATGTTGTCAGACTAATCATGCTTCAGACCATGTCTAGCAAAGTCCGATTTCTCCTCTCAGACACTGTATTTAACTGAGGTGTCCCCGGAGGAGTGAGTTGGGATAAGATCTCATGCTCTTTCAGATAGTCATCGAACTCCAGGCTTAAGTATTCACCTCCTTGATCCGAGCGGAGGGTCTTAATACTTTTGCCTAATTGTTTTTCTACTTCGTTCTTGAATTCTTGGAATTTTTCAAAGCATTCCGACTTGTGTTTCATGAGATACACATATCCATATCTACTAAGGTCGTCAGTAAATGTAACGAAGTAAGAATAACCACCTCTAGCTACAGTGCTAATTGGACCACACACATCGGAGTGTATGAGGCCCAATAAGTCACTCGCCCTTTCACCGTGACTGGTGAATGGAGCCTTTGTAATTTACCAAGTAAACAAGATTTACATACATCATATGACTGGAAGTCAAATGAATCAAGTACACCTGAGCGATGTAACTTAGATATGCGTTTCTCGTTAATGTGGCCCAAACAACAATGCCATAGGTACCCGAGATTCAAACTGTTAGGTTTGTTTCTCTTAACATCTACGTTATATATTGCGGTATCCATGTCAAGGATATAGAGACCGTTGGTCATTTTTGCACTTGCATAAAATATATCATTTCTAAAGACAAAGAATTTTGTCTTTTACAACGAACGAAAATCCTGCTTTGTCAAGGCAGGATACAGAAATGATGTTTCTGCTTATACTAAGTACAAACAGACAATTATTCAAATGCATTATAAGACCACTAGGTAGAGATAAACTATAGGTTCCGACGGTCAATGCATAGACGAGTGCGCCATTGCCAACTTTTAGTTGTATCTCTCCCTCCGTCAATTGTCTACATTCATGCAAGTTCTGCATAGAAGTACAGATGTGGGAACCACATCCAGTATCCATCACCCAAGAGGTGATATCAGACATATTGACTTCGATAACGTAAATACTTGAGTTTTGGGGCTGACCCTAGTAAAGGTCTCTTAAGCATTGTATCATAGGATGCACTTCCATGTCCGCGTGGAGCCTTTGGAGCTCCGCAGTCATACTGGCCATAATGATACACTTTACATCTCGCGCGTCGTCCTCATACTTCTTGAAGGAAGTGAGTTCGGACGCACGAGCATTAGCATCAGGGCTCTTGGGAGGATCCGTTTCGAGGATGTAGAGTTTCTTCTCACAGTTAAGAACGATTCGGAGGTTCATCTCCCAGTCAAGAAAGTTGGTCCCGGATAACTTATTGTTTTCCAGGATGTAACGCAGGTTGAAAGGGTTGTTATTGTTTGCCATCTACAGAAAATTTTGCAAACTAGGTTATCTATCATGTTTAATAATTAATTAGGCCTTTAATTAATTATCTCCCACTATTTTTAACAAATCAATAACCCTCGATATTGATTCGGAGATTTCCGGCGAAACCTCTAGTGGGCCAAGATCCATATTTCATTATCTTGCGTTCCGCTTGGGCGTTACTCCACAAGACAACTATTTAGGTAGGAACATAGTTCCAACTGATGAGCCGGGCTCTCAGCTCTTGGTCTGGTGTTGGGCGAACAATATTACTACAA